AAAGAGACGTTAGAGCTGCCGAGAGCCGAGTCCAGATCACGCTCTGCACTCTTGAGGCTATAGCAAGGTAAGTGTGATGTACATGCTTACGCATAACACCTACACTACCTTGCAAGTAGCGTCGCGGAATATATGTTGATGATCACACGCTCATCAACGCCTTCATCTACGGCCTTGTAGATGGATCGGTGAATACCTACATGTTCCTAGAGGACTTCCATACGCTGGAAAAGGCGATAGCGTATGCAGAACAACAAGCCTTCAGCCTGAGACAGTCTCAGGCTAACTCATCAAATTATCGTCCGACGAGACGACAGGAAACAGGAGGTCCCGAACCAATGGACCTCTGTTACATCGAGAGCGAGAACTCTCGCTCTCTGAGTCACAAGCGAACGGCAAGATGCCATCGCTGTCAGAAGATTGGCACTACGCTCATGAGTGTAGTGTCCCCAGCACCGCAACACATCCAAAGACAGGACATGATGGCCGCCGCTAGCCGAGGAAAGGTCCAAGGCGCGTGTCCAACCATGTCGCTAAGCCGCGACAGCAAGTCGGTCCGTCAAAAAACGGTCAGGTTCAGTAGGGGCGGAGCACCCTGCTGATCCAGCAATGCCACGAGAATTTGCAGGACTCTTGACGAAGATTGCTCCCAGCACGCAGTCTCTGTGTGTTACTACCCTTAGTGATGAGGAGATCCTCATCACTTTGAAGATCGAAGTGACAAGTGCAATGTCACTTCGCGCCCTAGTTGACTGTGGGGCGTCGAACAGTTTCATCCGACGCCATTTGCTGGAAAGTAGTAGGCTCAGCTATGATGAGCGAGAGTTCCCTCCAACAAGGATGACGGTGTGCCTTGCTGCAGGCGCATACGTTACAGTGAAGAAACGTGTAGTGGGAATCTACTACACGCTAGAAGGAAAGCAGTACGATGATGACTTTATCATACTGATTTGGATGACAAGTTTGATGTCATCCTCGGTCTGCCATGGCTTAGAAAATACCAGCTATGGGTTAGCTGACAGCATCGATCCGTGAGGATGCCCGCCGTTTATTCATCAGATGGCCATCTGATGAACGTCTTGGAGCGTCCACAAGCGTGTGGATGTACTACGAGTGAGTGTGATGGCCTCAGTTGTGGTACGGTCATTAGTATGATTGCACAAGATCACATTGTAGCAGGCCACTACACTGTGGAACCATCTTCCGGCACCTGTGTAGAGACACAGGCTGCGCCGAAGGTCCACCACTCGAAGAGATCAAGTGGACTGGAACACGGATGCACACCAAGAAGGGTGCATCCGAGAAGAGAGGTCAGCGTTGTCTAGAATGAACAACACGTTATGGAGATAGACTAAAAAAGAGTCGATCGTAGAGCAAGCCCGATCGACTAAAAGAGAGTCGATCGAAGAGGAACGTGACTGTGGTAGTACAGTCACAGTCAGTACACGCATTGGAAGAAAGTTCCAGCGTTCCTGAGAGCGACAACCCCCCGAGAGAGTTATGCCGAGGGTGTGTTTCCCCAATCACCTACGGATGTGTATTTCCAGGATTCACCGAGTCAGAGATGTCTTGGTGAGTGACGGATTAAGCGTAGGCGCTAACAACGCTTGATCTGGTTACATCTCTGAATTCAGCTTTGGAGGTAGTCAAGTTGCCAACGCTAGAATCTAAAAGAATCTTTCGAGATCTGCGTTGTGACAAATTCAAGCAGATCTGCGTACTCGTCATAGAGGACGAGTACGTCGCGGATATTCGGTCGTCTCAAGTGTTTGCTGAGAAAGAACGGGTTCTCAGTAGCTCATCTATGGACGAGAGTGTCCTCGATGAAAAGACTCGGATTGAGCGATATACGGCTCAATATTGGGAGTCTTTATGGACAAATGCTTGATATAAGGGGTTTGGTTGAATTCAGGAATGTTTTCCGTAATTCGTGCTATGCGAGATGCCCAAGGACAAAGGCACTCAGTATGAGATCGAGCTGAAACCTGGTTCGAAATACTGCGTCATGAAGCAGTGGTTACTGCCTCCTGAACAGGTCACAGCGATCGACAATTTCTTTGCCGATCGTTTAGCGGCGGGTCATGTTAGGGAATCAACTTCCCCACAAATCGCTCCAACCTTCTGTGTGCTAAAGGCCACCGGAGGGTGGCTGAAAGTGCACGCGTTCAACGAATTGAAATCTGCAGCGGTACCGGCTCAAACGTCGATCCCAAGGAAGGACGTCATCATAGATGGTATGGCAAAAAGTACCACCTTTTCGTCCATGGATTTGATGGATGGATTCTATCAGATCCTCATGCGTGAACGGGACATCCCATACATAGCAGTGAGCACTCCCAGTGGTATGCTCTGGGAGTGGCTAGTAATGCCACAGGGGCCAAGTAACGCCCCTGCAACTTTCAACAGATGTCTTACAAATCTGTTGAGATCGGTGCGCGATTTCGCACCGAGTTACTTCGACGGTGTCTTCGTCCATGGCCGGGCTATGAATGGAAAGACGGACGTGGAGGTTCATAGAATTCACGTCCGGAAGGTTCTTACTCTAATGCGAGAGCATGAGTTGTTCGCGAACCTCAAGAAGTGTGTATTCGCAGCGAACAAAATACCACTTCTTGGCTGCATCGTGGGTAAAAACGGTGTACGCCCTGATCCAAAAAAGATTAAGGCGATTAGCGACTGGTCTGTGCCAGTCGACGTCAAGGGACTTCGAAAGTTCCTTCACTTGGCGGCTTACTTGCACGAGTACAGAGTACGAGTCTGTGCCAGTCGACGTCAAGGGACTTCGAAAGTTCCTTCACTTGGCGGCTTACTTGCACGCGCGCAACTACGCCGAGATGACCATACATCTCTCTCGTCTGTTAAAGATTAAGAAGAGGTGATCACGGAGCGCTGAGTGTCAGCACTCTTTTGAAAGCATCAAGATCGGCTTGATACAATCGCCTGTGTTGGCGATTGCAGATCAGGATAGACCATTCCATGTGGTCTGTGACGCCAGCGAGTTTGCAATCGGCTGGACGTTAATGCAGCACAACTCAGACGGCGTTGAGCGCGTCGTCTGTTATCAATCGCGTCAGCTGCAATCAGCTGAGAGAAATTGCCCGGTGCATGACAAGGAACTCCTCGCTATGAAATACGCACTGGCTAAGTTTCGGGTACATCTCTTAGGAGATATGCCCTTCATCATTTATACCAACCATGCGTCGCTACGCACAGCTGTAAACAGCGCTCATAACGAATGGCGAGGTTGCTGTACTTCTTCGCTGGGTAGAACTTCTTTGTCGAGCATAGATCTGGACGACTTGATGTCGTCGCTGATGCTCTTTCCCGTTGGCCCGATTTCGAGCCGACTGCTCAACGCTTTAGTAGGGGTGATACCACTGGAGCGACAATAACAGTGAGTGTTCCGTCGTCGAATCTACTCGACGACGTGCAAAAAGCATACGCAGAAGATAAGTCTCTTCTGCGATTGATGGATTACGTATCCAATCCGTGCAGCCAAGCTTTGAAAAGCTTGTCGTCTCAATACAGCTCGTCCCCCGAACGGTATTCGGTTCGTGATGGAGTGCTGTACTATACAGCAGTCAACGGCGACAGACCCCGTGTCGTCGTTACCGCTCATAATGATTTTCGACTGAGCATCATGTATGAGTGTCACGATGCCCCAACAAGTGGGCATCGCGGTAGAGAAAAGACTTACCTCACGGTGAGTCGTGACTTCTGCTGGCCGCGCCAGTATGAGTTTGTGCACAAATACATTCGCGCTTGCGAAGTTTGTCAACGGGTGAAGCCTAGTCTTTCATCCCGCGCACCCTTGTAGCCTCTTCCGATTCCGGCAGAGTGTTAGCAGTTCGTATCGATGGACTTCGTCTTCGGGTTTCCCAAAGACGCTCACAAGAATACTGGTATTCTTGTGTTTGTTGATCGGTTCAGCAAGATGGTACATCTTGTTGCTGTAACGGAGTCAATCACAGCCCAGGTCTGTGCTCGTGTCTTCATCGATACTATCTCGTGACTTAGCGGGTTACCCCGTGAACTCGTGTCCGATAGGGACCCCCGCTTCACAGCGGAGCTCTGGCAATTCGTTTTCCGTTCACTTGGAACACGTTTGACGATGTCAACTTCTGACCATCCCGAAACAGATGGTCAAACGGAACGCGTCAACCGCGTTCTCGAAGAGACACTTCGAGGGTATGTACACTCGTTTACGAGCTGGAGTGAGTTTTTGCCGACGGCGGAATTCGCCATCAAAAATCGGTGCATGCGTCGACAACGCATACACCGTTCTTCGTGAATGGTCTACGCCATCCACGTTCACCCGCCTTTTTAGAGTGTGACTCGAGTTTAAGTGGGGGGAGGTAGACTCACTCGAACAAAAACCGATCTGGTTCTTGCTTATCACCCATCGACAATGGTGTCGACGGGATGGACGCCGATGTCGATGCGATTGATATCGATGATGATGATGACGACGATGCTGGTATATTCAGCATCGCCAATGACTGTAAAAGTGAGGACGAGTGACACCCGTACTGGTGAAGACAACGTCTTTCAGCAGTGCACACGAATCGCACTGCTGTTGACAAGGATGAATCAGCAGAGGAATTGCTGCTGACTCGCGAAGCAGTTGTCCGCTTCATTCGAGACTCTATTGCAGATGCACTAGACGGACAGAAACGAAACGCAGACAAACTTGGAAAAGCAAATGCTCTTTCATTTGATGAAGGAGATTTAGTTTTACTGTTTACAGTTAACTTGCCAAAACACGCAGTGACAAACGTGGGCAGCAGTAAATTACTGCCCAAGTACATCGGTCCATTTCGTGTGTTGCGCCGAATGGGCAACGCATACACGATTGAAATGCCCCGTGAGATGCGTACGCATCCTACGTTTTAAGTAGGACGTCTCCGCCCGTACTATCAGTACGAGCCCGTTTTGAGATGCGAAGAACAACTCCGCGGTCGAGAGCCGATACCACGTTCAAGTGGTCCCTTTTCAACGATCTAGTCTGGTCGACTAGCAGAAGCGAACTGTTCACGCAGCTCAGCGATGTCTCGACGAGCAGCAGCCAGCTCGTCACGAAGAGAACGAGTCGAACGTTCGTTCTCAAGTTGTGCAAACGCAAACGCGGCACGATCGTCCGAACGAACGTACGTTAGGAAATTATAATTATCCCTCACAAGATCCTCAAGCTCATAACGCCGAGTCCGTTCATGAGCCAGGTCATCTTGCAACTGTTCCGTTGTACGGTTCAGCTCCTGAGCATCAAGCTGATCCGAACCTCGGGCTGGATCAGGTGTTCCCGCCACCACCACAACCTTTGGTGCAATCAAGCGGTGGTCAACACTTCCTAGTGGAGCGTCTCTTGATCCACCGTGACGTGAATAGCGTCCGGAAGAGTTACCTCGTCCGCTGGCGTGGCTATCCACCGGCGTGGGACAGCTGAGAGCCTTGTGCCCAGCTGATTGTTGATGTCCTGGGTCTCGTCAAGCAGTATGACGAGACCCACCCACTGCATTCGAAGAAGGGCCGTCGGAAAACGACCTCCCCGAACGCGAGTACAGGGATTGTTAGGTGTCAATCCCTTCGGCCATCTCGGAAGAGATGCGCGCACTCCAGTAGGGACCATTAGGGTCCTCCGGTAGGAACCATAAGGGAGTTAAGCCTCCTTACGGGCACGGTTCGAGTTGTCCAGGAAACCTGGACACGAATCACCCCACGAGAGACAGGGTAATCCTGCCTCTCTTGAAAGCCAATGCAACTTGTATCGCACCCCGACGGGGTTGCGTTTCTGATACCTGATGCGGCTGCATCAGGTTTGGCGAGCCAAACCTCACGGCCAATACACTCGATGTTGTGGATGAGGGCATTATATCCCTGCACCAAGGCTTTGCCGTCTCGTACACGGCTACCATTGTACCACCGATGTTTGAAGAGCGCATCGGTGAAGAATATTTCCTCAGCAAGGATAGTTTCCGTGCTCGAATCAGGTGGGCAACTCTTCCTGCAATCGAACAACAGGATTCGATCCGGTTCGGCAGTCGTGTCGGCCAACCGGTCCGACTATCTGGAGGGCGGCATCCACGGAGACTCCAGTTGAGGAGCGTAGCGCAGGACACTTCGGTCTCTGGCCTCTTGATTGGTGCCAGCATGAGCACTGGCACCAGTGTTACCCCGATCCCTCGAATTACTTCGCTCGTGGTGATGTATAGGTGCATCACAAGGATCCCCACGCGTCCTATCATTGGATGGACTTGCGTGAGGCGGGGATTCGTCGGAATAATCGCTCGATTCGAAAATCTCTAGCATGATGCGGCCACGTTGACCAGAGCAAGTCAACCTTGCTCTTGCAGTGTCTGCCCCGGGTGATCTGGAGGCGTGAGGAGTCGTCTTCGAGTTGGATGCATCATCCGACTTGCCTGAATAGATGAGCCCTATCTCAGACTCGTCTTGATTACGACTCGCGGTACCCGCTGCAGACGCAACGGATGTACCTGTCGCACGTGGTGACTCACCACGTGGACGATTCACAACAACAGGCGACGAATCACCCGCTGCTGAGGCGTGATAAGCACCATCCGCGGCCGCACGCATGAGTGCAGCCGCTCTTCTTGCTGCTGTAGTAGAAGCTTACGTGGTTTTCGAAACCATGCGTTGGATTGGAAAATGAATGGAATCTGACCAACAAGTGCTCCCTTTCCCAAAGTGATCCAACAGTGGCCACCTCTCCCAATCAATTCTAATTCAATCAACGGGTGATTGATGGTTAGGGAGGGTGATGTAACGGGGTAGGCCGTTGCATGATATTGACACCAAACGGTGCCAATAGGAATATTGTCAAACATGACAACATCCTACCAATACACACTATCCGAGATGGAAATTATGGAAAGAATTTTATCCCCTGTTGGATAGTATTCATGCGCTGCTCCAAGATTCGTTGATATAAGACATATCAACCATAGATTACCACCAATCGCTGCTAGACACGCGCAACGAGTGGTGAGCAGGTTGTTGTCATACGACAATGTAGTTTAGCATTGTTAGGTAAAGATTAACGTTTTGTTGAAAGCTTAACTGTGTTAAATACAGTTCTCTTTTTATCTTTTACTTAAACTAGCTGTTTGAGTAGATTAGCTTTCTCTGCACGTACAAGAGTATGTAAAGTTTCGCGGCACCTAGACAAAGGGTGCCCCGTTACAGAAAAATATACAATCAGCAACGCTTACAGACTTTCTCTCACGCGAATGTATACTATCAGCACACACTCTTTCTCTCGACGACAGTCAATTTACTTAAGGTCAAAGGTACTCGCATGAGTCTGCGGTTAGACGGCCTAATACTTGCTTATCCTGATACCTGCTAACAGTCTTTTATTCTGCTCAAGCCTGCAGCGTTAGTTTGACATTTGTAATCGTGAGTCGGTTGACCAGAACACCTACGAAACCCTTGCGCCTTCTGGATATTGTGCAGTGAGTAGAATTAAACGAAAGAATGAGGGAAAACTTGTTATGAAGTTTTTTAGCAAAAGATTGTAGCTTCTGTAGCAGATACGATTGCCAGCTCTCACGGACTTGGTTTGATTGACGACGTCATTTTGTGCAGACTGCAGTTTTGTCGCTTGGACTACGATGTCACTACCCAGACAGCAATTGAATGATGAGTATGTATAGACCTTTGCACGAGCAATCGTACCGGGTGCCCAGCCAGATAAGAAGTTTATGAGATCACAGAATTTTGAACATGATTCAGCTGCTAGAGAAGTCACGATGTGACTCCTTGAAGCTGCAAGATGATACAATACCGCTGACGTAGTAAATTATCGCCGATCAGATCGCCGAGTATCGGCTGTGCAGGTATCTGTCCAACATGAGAGCTGACCAATGACAGCTGAGAGGTTGAACCGTGTGTCAGCGATGAATTGACAGTGTATAGGGAGCTAAATCAATACTCATCGACTGTTGTCGAGACATCTCGTACAATGATCACAAACACTAGCATGTTGAGTCATTGGATTACATTGCCGTTGTCAGTCAGTTGGTAATCAGCGACGATACGGCTGTTTTGTCGTATCGAATTTAGTCGACTTAAAAGCAGCGTAGGGGTATAAAAGCTAGGGACGAACTCACTACATTACTTGCAGTAAGCGTACTGGCCTACAAGTGTATGGACAATAGAACCTACACCTGACAACCAGACTGTGCCCAAAGCGATCGCTGACAATGAGAATATTTAGTGCTAAGTGATAAGCTTGTTGTGATTGATGAAGAAGAGGTACAAAAAACTTTAACTTACTTCTTTTGTATTGTCAGGCGAACCGGGCATTAATTTGTGTCTTGCCAATTTTTGTGAGCGCAAGAAATTTTTTCCGGTCGCGAGTGGGTCACTGTACCGGTGATTTTTAGACCAATCAAAACCATTTATCAATCAGAATTTGTTACACCCAATCATGTTCTATTAACGCCGTATAATTTAAAGCGAGCCAAAGGCTGAATCTATAAGTGACTGTGCGCAAGGTAAATGCCGAACTTTCAAGACCTACTTTCTGTAAATCTGTATGGCTGTGTCTGTCCGAGTGACGCCGGGTGTGCCACATCGTTTTTAAATGCGATGTGGCCTGTCAATGGTTGTGTCGGTGAGCATCGCTGGTTTTTTGTATATTGCACGTCTTACGAAGTACAACGTAGCATTTCATCCCGTCATGGGTCTCTAGTCATTATAAGCGTCACCCTCTGATTAGACCAACAATTGCGACTGCGAAGTGTGTGATATTCACACATGCACTAATGCCCGTACGTGATTGGCTTAAAAGTGTTCAAGGGCAGACTGAGGGATAACAAGCAAATACTAGACACTCAGGGGCAGCGAGCCTCGCACATTCGCAAACGTAATGTGATTTTGAATCAGACTACTTGATATTATAAAATCGTTGAAGGTTATGGTCACATTGTTCTATCGGTAGCAGAATAAGCTCTCTTAATCTAGCTCACTCTACTATTAGTTGATGCTGTGTCATAGGTAGGGATCCGCCCCGCAGCGTCCCATCCTGCGCATCCTGTACGGCGTTAGCGATGGATACGTAGATTATATCACGAGTAACTTACACAACAGAGAAGTTAATAATGATGGTTTATCAGCCTACCTCGTAAGTGTTGAAAGTCCATTGTCTTTGTTTGCCGATGGCCTCACAAATTACATTGTTTCGCCCAAAACAGATCATCATTAGAAGTCTAAGTTTCTTAATCAAACCATGTGTCTGACCATAATACGTACATCAGTTTTGATACAATTTAGATTACCACATATCTAGAGTGTCCCAGAACAAGCATAAGTCCAATCTTCAGCGAACATAACAACTACAGATTTCAACTGCAGCTGTACGGCAAATTTAACATCCTATACACTCAAGGAAATGATTTTAAAGCTGCTGCTATGTATCCGTCGCGCTATTCAATTCGAACCGCTAGGAGCAATTTGCAAGAGCTGGTTAGGCAATCAATAAAAAGACTGCCTGTTGAGGTAAAGGTTGCCTGAAAGGTAGCCAGAACAACTGGTAGAGCATTTTGCGCCACTTTTTAGTACAATGTGACACAGGAAGTAAGCGGTATTTCTCTCCACCATTAAAAACTCACCTCTCACTGCGGACTGCGTACCTTCCGAGAGTAGGCAGATCATTGAACATTTCAAGACCAGCGTCAACAAGGTCATTGTATAAAGGCGCTACAAATGCATGTCGCGAATTCTTATAAGAGCCGCAATCGTGAAAATGTGTGTTCAGCTTTATATCCGTACCCGATTGCAGTGCCCAGATATGCGGATTCTTCTTGCAGGTTTTAACCCCTAGTGTCAGAAACATGTGCATTGGCGTAGATGCTACCCAGTTTACTAATACTTGTGCTTTATTATTAATAAGTCAGCATGAATTATTCTAGCACCGATTATAACACAATTTATTTTACATTACAAAGCCGAATACAGAATGAATAAGCATTTTCTATGACAAATGGAAGTCCCATTCCACGAGCCTATTGTCGGTGTCACTATTCACTGGAGTGACTATGGCTATAAGATACGCGATCTTGTCATCACGACCAACGTCATTGTTAGCGAACACAATGGTGTGAACTTGAGCCAGCAATAGTCTTTTTTTTATTTTTGAAGACTAAGGAGTCAAAAATATATTTTGTCGTCATTACCACAAAAAAAACGCTTCGACCAAGAGGTAGTTGGCTAAAACATTTCCGAGTTTGACAAAGTTTAGAGTTTTGATGTTCGTGATTACCTTCTGGGGTGCATGGCGCACGTTGCCAGTCTCTCTTTAAAGTCAGGTACCAATGCAATTGGAGGTGCTTACGAGGATAATTTAATTCTCTCCATAGACATTTCGATGGAAATCTTTCATTTACTAGGTACTTTAAGACATGAGATTGGAGACAGTGAGTTTTTATCATGTACAGTCTGTAATCTTCTAAGACTAAAAGTTTGCGGCTCCAGCGGACCTTTTGTCGATCTCATTAGAGCGATCGCTGACCGTTTCGGCAGTTATAATATGCGTCTCATATGCTTTTGAGCATCCGCTAAGTTTTCCCAGCCTAGTTCTACTGCCCTGATCATGCTGTAAGACGTAGATACCTACACAAAACTTAATTGTTTTGTATTAATTCCTTCAGTTGATCTCCTCCACTTTGTTGATACCCACGCCAAACAACATTCTACCTTGCAGAATTATGCCCTCATTGGCACCTATCGAGATCTTTCTGAACAAGTCATGCTGCATTTGCCACATTGAAGCAGCAAAGCATTGGGCATTTTTTATATTACTGATTTGACTGATGTTCTTGTCTTTTTTAATGTCTCTACGAATACTCTATGCTAGTCATACCTGTCTATCACGATAGCGCTGCAACAATAAAAACTTCTTTTTTGGCGCGTCAAAAATCTCGTCGCATGCTGGATATGTGCTGTCCGGGCCAGTCATCTCGATAATCTCCGAGCTAGAGAAAACGAAGGTAATTCTGCTCAAAAACAGTTCCACTTTAATGATACAACGTCAATTATCTTCTCTAGCTTGCCTGGTATGCTGAGAATGGCTATGAATGCGCATCCGTTTTCTGATTCCATACAATATTGGAAATCGACACTCGAAACTATCAAAACGATGTTTTTAAACCGAACACCAACATGAGGTTAACGCCAGCCCTGACAGTCTATTCGACTAGATCTTTAAGAGGCCACGTCGTGTAACTCTTGACGACTGGATTGGTCAATATCTGGGAGAAATGGCCGAGAGTGGGATAGCTTAACCCTTTATATGGTGAAGTGGGCAGATCCAACCTGATCCGACGTAGCCAGGATGCCTCGTGTTCACTTGGCTATTACTTTATCAAAAATGTATACTTTGTAACCACTTTCTTCAGTCCGACGAGTGATTACGGAATCTCGAGGAACCACGAGCGCCGTGCACACGGAATCGCTCGTGTGTACGCATAGCTGGTCGCTCAAGTATTTTTTTTAAGGTTAATAGAAAACAATTACTATTCCTGGCCGCGGAATTGACCCATTCCTCATATCGCGCGGTATGGAGCTCTAGCACA